CTTCCTTAATATTAGAATTTTGCAATAAATTTTCATTTTCTGCAACTTTTTGATAATAATAAAAGGCTTTTTCCAAGTTCTTTTCTGTTCCTATACCATTATCATAACAATTTGCTATATTATATATTGCATTTTTATTACCATTTTCAACAGCTTTTTTATACCAATAAAAAGCTAATTCCAAGTTCTTTTCTGTTCCTTCACCATTTTTATAACATATCGCTAAATTATTCATTGCAATTGCATGACCATTTTCAGCAGCTTTTTGATACCAATAAAAAGCTAATTCCAAGTTCTTTTCTGTTCCTTCACCATTGTAATAACATATTCCTAAATTATTCATTGTAATAGTATGACCATTTTCGATAGCTTTTTTATACCAATAAAAAGCTAATTCCAAGTTCTTTTCTGTTCCTTCACCATCGTAATAACATATTCCTAAATTATTCATTGCAATAGTAAGACCATTTTCAGCAGCTTTTTGATACCAAATAAATGCAAAATTATTATTGATTGCAGTTCCTAATCCTTTATTATAGCATCTTCCTAAATATAGTTGTGCAATGGGAAAATTATCTGCTACCTTTAAGAAACTAATAAATCCTTCACCATTATTTTTTTTTAAATCGAGTATATTGTAATAAGAAAATACTCCAAGAAAAAAAACATTTTTTGGTTCATTTTGATTTTCTTTAAGCCAGTTATATATATCATTGGTTGCTCGAGTAGTAAGAGCAATACAATTATTAATAAATTGTTTCGTTTTTTCAAATTCTAAAGATAGCTTTTTATTCAAAAGTATGAATAATTTATTAATTAACACATTAATATTATCTGTTGAATTAATCATCTCTGAAATATATAAGCAAACGTCATTTTTTGTTTCTGCTTTTGACATGATTGTTGAGATAAAATAAAAGAAATTTAAAAGTAGAAAAAATTTCGTCCGACTTTATAATTGATCGGCTGGCCTAAAATCCTTTCTTAAAATAAGTTTTACACAATTCTAAAATGGGTAAAAAATACTTTACTCCGTAATGCATCATGCAATGTACGACAGATTTGTTATAAATGCATGCATAATTTTGTGTTAGTTGCCTCTAATGGAATTATTACGGTTTTTTAAAAAATAAAAAAATATTGAAATTATTTAAAGTAACCATCCTATTCACATAAGATATTAAAACTAAATACAAATTTATGAATTATTTCTCTTAAAAAAAAATATTGTTTGAAAAAGGTATCCCCTAAATGGTTACGTTACGGTACTATAAAATTTTTGCAGGTACGAATATTTTTTACTAATTATACTGTATCTATAACTCTGTATGTATATATGAATACTAATAGATATTGCTTGCATGGTACGATCCTATTTATTTAAAACGTACCTGCAACTTTAGTACGTACCTGCAACTTATGTACCTGCAACTTTATTTATTTTATACAAAGTTTTTTTTCATTAATTCTTAATTCTTGTATATTTTTATGATGTTATGCCGTATATATAATCTAAATTTATATTACCACACAAGTTTTTTCTCGTTAACAAATAAAGAAGGTTACGTGCCATAAATTTCGTCATGTCCTAGGATTTCAAAGTGCAGTACAAACATAAAGGAATCGTAACTTAAATATCTAAAATATTTACTAGACTTAATTTTAGCGATCATATATTATACTTAAATTTTTTTTATTTTTTTAATTTGTAAATATCTTATATTTATTATTCAATAATGCTTGAAATTATAATTGATTGTATTATATAATACATATCGATATGCAAATTATTTATTAGAAATATTTTATTAAAACAACAAATATTGCTATTTAGAAAATAAGCAAATTAATGTTAATTTAAGCAAATATATTTCACTATTTTGTTTAAAACGTACCCAAAATATAGAGTTAATGAACACCGTTAAGATCGTACCTATAAATAATTTATCGTACCTTACCTTTTATATAATATCGTACTGGAGTGTCACACCGACTAATAATCAAAACTATATCAAATTGGTTTTACTATAATCTAAATTTATGTTACACAAAGCTTTAAAATAAATTAGAATCCTTTTTTATATATATCCGTTTACTATTAAAATAAACTCAAACTTCTAAAAGATTCCCACCAATATTGAGCTTATTTTCTTCTTTTTTTTTGGTTGGGAACTCTTCTTAAGAACTGTTGAAAAGTAACTACGTTCATTTTTTAAAAATGGGTTGAATATTCCTTCTTAAAAATCAATATTTACAAAAATTTTTAGATTCTTAAGGTCAAATCTTGAATTTTTTTTTACAAAACGAAATTTCTTAACGTAACTTTGTTCTTAAACTATATATATTCTTTGCTGTGAAAATTTGAAGGTAAATTGACGTTTCAATAATGCAGTGAATCATTTTGAAGTGTTCTAATTAATGAATTGCTATTTATCTGTCAATATATCCTCAACTAATTATAGATAGGTATCCAAACTTAATTTGATTGTTATGTTACGATAAAAATCTTCAATATATAAATTTTTATAGTTAGCTGATATAGTTTTGATTAATTAGTCGGTGTAACACCCTAATATCGTACCGTAATTAAATACTCTTTGAAAAGATCATCGATAATTTAATTGATCATCTACTACAGATCTAGTTAGAATAACAAATAGGTTGATAATTATATTATGTTGATCTTATTGTTTCAATATCCTGTATTTTTCTTTGGTTGAAGGAGTATTGTGATCTCTAAACCTGAATTAATGTTAAATAAGGAATCTTTGAATTCATAAACATATTCTTGATTCGATGAAAGTTAGTTTGATTCGGCCGTACGACGCGTTATTAACATGCGCTGTTCAATTATGGGCGGGCCGTTTTTATGAATTTATTGAATCACCCAAATAAAGCCAATAGAACATTTTGAAAATTGATCAAGTACGATTTAATTTGGTTTATTATTTAATTTTAGAGTTAAAAAAGGAGGGCTCATAGAAACTGCACGAAATAACTCATTTAAATAATTCATGAAATTTTTTGATATTGTTTCCTTTCCGTTCCATTTATTGATTTCGAACTTTAAAAAATTTTAAAGTCAAAATTTGGATTGGCAAATTAAATCAATGTATACCTAATATAAATAAGTTAAAATATTTGGTTGAATTTATAGACATTATAAAATATATACTATTTATTAATGAAAAAGTTAAAATAAAATTACAGTAAAGATATCATTTAAAATAATATAATTTTATTTCGATTAGCTCAATCCAACTCTGTGGAACGTTTACCCGTTCATGTTTATATAAATGAATCAGTATAACATGGCATACTGCCTCACTATCACGAATAATTTATAAATTATACCAAAGTCAATAACATTCTCGCAATAAATTTATAAATAGAATTCATAAATAAATCAAAGCATTATCGAAATTATATTAGTTTATTTTTGTGTGATAATTGATATCTATTGTTAAAATGGTTTATGTAAAGCAAGAATTTTGGTATTATGAAAATCTATTTTGTGGATATTTTAAGAAATACTATCATCATATGAAGAGGCATAAAGGTTGAATCGTTCCTTATAAAGTTAGACTGTTAATGGAACCGGTCCTGTGGTAGTCATATTCTTAGAACCCGTTTTGATATATGTTTATAACGATGATCGTGTAATAAAACTAGAAATAGAACCATTATATGTTCGGAGGGAGCAAAAAAATTATTAAAAATTGTATTGTGATCAACGCGATTTCTAAACTATTTACTGCGCCTTCTTAAATGACATTTATTTTATTTATTTTATATTTCATTTCCCCATTTCCCTAACAATTTCATTTCGTAAAATATCGTATTATTAAATATATTAATATTATGAATAGATTTTGATTAATTAAATTAGAATTTGATATGAAAAAATAAAATTTTAACTTTCGTTTCTTCATAATCCAAGGGTGCCACAATAATCACATAAATTTTCTATATTTTGCTAATATTACATTTTATCGTTGATCACTCGTTTCTCCTTAATATGAGATACAAAGTTTAAAGTGTACATATGAAGAAAGTATGACATGAATAAACTTGTATAATAATCAATTTTGTCGTGATAAATGTAAATTCATTAGTCAATTAGTTCTTTTAATAATACGATACATAAACATTATTGTCTCATATTACTTTCAAGCTTATAAATAATAAAATAAATTTTAGAATCAATTAATCGTTTCTCGATTAATCGAAACCGAAAGTCGAATCTAAAAACCGAAACTTGATTTTAGTTTATATATGGCATAGCTAATTTTATAGATCACATATAATTTGAAGAAAAAAAATAAACATTTGCCAAAAAAACTTATCAAAAAATTTTACATTTTGATAAGAATTAGATACTAATTCAGCTTCACATTCTTCGAGCAGGTTATTACTTTATAAACGTTAAGCGCATGGTGTAACTATTTAGTTTTGTTTTTTTTTTGTTGTTAATTTTGGGAAGCGATCGCATCGTGCAGCAAAATCTCAAGTGTTCCAAAAGTGGTTTAACATGAAGAATATCCCAAAGTGTTAATTAAAATTCACTTATTCCAGTCGCAATTATTTGATATCTAACCCTTTCTCTTCCAAACATTCTTCTACTTGAATGCTGCGGTTGTACCAATCAATTGTATTATAAAAGGTTTTTTATTAATATAAATAAATACTATAATGAAGTATTAAATTTATAAATTTTATAAAAAAAAAAAACTATACATTATGATTTCTAAAACTTTAATCAGCTAAAAATACGTAAAGATTCCGTTGTAGACAAACCAAATATAAATTCTAATTTTGAAAAAAAAATATGAAAAAAAGGAAAAGTTTTATCCGGCGAATTATAAGCTTTCCTTAACCGTAAATCATTTGCACTCTCTTTTAGAAATAAAAAATAAATTTCTTAATATAAAAAAGTATCACTTAAAATAAAAATTATTTTTTAAAAAAGCGAACCGCTAATTATTTTAATTTGTGATGATCTACATGCCAAATGATTGGGATTGATCGCCATATTCGATAAATCCGCTTCCCGAACCATCTAGTTGATCTAGTTGGCTTTGAAAAACTAAATCATCATATGAAGGATAAATCAAAATCGGCTGTGGTGGTAAGGTGGAATATGTGTTTGGAAAATATTGGTAATATGGTTGTGTGAGATGGGAGCTCATTGCGTACGTTGAATGCCAAACTGTGTTTTCCACGTATGTTGACGTTGCAGACGCGAATCCGAATTGCGTCGTTATATTTTGCTGCGTTATCATCCCGGGTGGTTGGTTGATTACATTGGGAACTTGATATGGTAAAATCGTTGTCATATCTTGATATAGCATTGGATCCAAGGTATCCAATTGGTCATTGCCTACTTGTTGTTGTGCTTGTAGTTGATTAATTACCATTCCTTGGTCAGACGAGTGAAAATCTTTTTTTGTTTAAAAAAATAGGTAAATGGCTTATAAATTGTGATGAAAAAAGGAAAAAATTTATGTACCTATCGTTTGACCTTGATCAACTGAATTATCATAATAGGATGGTGCGACATTAATATCTGACGCAGGAATTGTACGAGGTGACGGATGATTTGAAGAAGTTTCTAATGCTGCAACATTTGGAGATTGTTGATGTTCAATAGTTTGACAATTAAAATCATTACGTTTCTTCCTAATGGGACGATATACATAATTTTCATAAGTTGCTGAATGTTTTAAACATGCGATTTGATATAAAATCTTCCAAAACTCATGATCATGTTGAGTTTTGGATGTTTTCATAGATTTCCATAAATAACCAGCAATCTTCGAAGAGTATGTTACGTTTTTCTTTCTTTCAATCACACCATTTCTACTTAGTAGATAAATTCCTCTGGAAACATCCTTTCGAAATATAATGTATGCGTTTTGAGGTCTTGGAGTTCCTATCGCCCTTGATTTTGTGGCAGGTGCCAGTAGCTCAGGGATCGTCAAAATAGTTTTGATGTCCGAATAATGATCAATTATTTTGTCGATCAATATATTAATGCCTGAACTTTCTTTATCTTTATTTAATAAATGGGCTTGATCTTTCACGGATGTTTTTAATTCATCTAGCCTTTTTGCTACACTTAATTTCTCATCATTTGTTGGTGATGTAGGTAGGGTTATTAAAGTAGAGGAAGTAGTAGCAGTGGTTGTTGTTGTTGCTGTTTTATCAGCTCGTTGACGACGTTTTGAACTTTGATTTTTCATTATTGTATTATTATGAAAGAAAAAATGAAAGCGAATTCGCGGTTTTAATGTTTTAAACGAATGAAAGTTTATTTGAAGCAAGAAATAATTATGTACTATGTTTGTTTGAACAAAAAAAAAATAAATAAATAAAAATTTGGGTTTACGATTTTTATATCGTGTTCAAAAAAAAAAGCCATCCCTAAAAAAAAAAAAAAGTAAGTGGTCCCCAAAAAATAAGTTTATCCTTGATAAGGAAAGGTATATAAAAAAATAATTTATCGTGTGGTGTCGGAAAACAATTAAACCATTTTTTAAATTGAAACATTAATATTTACGAGCACAAAGGTTTCTTTATGAGAGAAGAATGTACATTAAGGCAATCGACCCTTATTAGGAATTACCCCGCATTACAATAAATAAATCACATCACTTCACATCATAAAAACGTTAAGAATTCTAATATTCATAATCATTGTACTATTATGAATTCAATTCGATATGATATCATCAAAATTCTTGTATTATTTGTATTATTTGTGAATTGTTTTCTTTGTCAATAACAGAATCAACCTATATTTTTTTTTTCGCGAGCACGCTCATCAAATAAAATTCAAATTCAAATCATAAACCAAATCAGGTTATATAAAAAGAAAATAGGTCAAAAAGTCCTTGTTAAAATCATTGAATGAATGACATTTTTTAGGACAATTGCAAAAACAAAGTAAAATTAATCCTTAAAATCAGGCCCCCTTTTTGTTGTGAACAAGAGTTTATTAATGTAAGTTTTTTCCCACGAGATTTTCAAGTACGACAATCATTAACTTTCTATAATTAGTAAATTCATCCAATGAAAAACTTTTTTTTTTACTAATGAATAGAAATGGTTGAATGTTTTTTTAAAAAAAATGCAATAACAATTTCTATCCTTTTGAATCAAAATGTAGAATTTACATGAAAGTTCTTAAAACAATTTCTCACAATTAAGTGCACGGAAAAGTTTTTCGGGTCAATTATTGCAAATTTCTTTTTATTTAATATTTTCTAATTTTCATACAATATAAATTATAGTGTTGTTCAATGATTGGCTCGTGATTTCCCGCGTAGGAAAATATTTTTTTTTTTTTCGAATTTCGTTTTACATGATTCGCCTAGCTGTAATTAAAATACGGACTAATCCGAAAAAATAAATAATTATAAATTTTTTTATTTATAAAAAAACCCAAGGCTATTTGAAAATTAAAATTATTATTTCCCATTTTATGAAACACAGTTCACATGATAAATTTAAACTTTCGTCAAATATGGAAAACTGGTTGGTTGCAGATCAGTACGATTCTAACTGGTCACGTGATTAGAAGCAAATTGTATAAGATTTTCAATTTAATCAGTCATTATTAATAATAATCAAAAAAAGTAAATATTAAATCACTCGGGTTAAATTTTGTTGTATTCAGTTCTTTACGTTTATATTTATAACCAAAGAAAAATGTAAGCAGAATGTTTTTATGATTAAAAATTAGGCATATGATGTAAAATTTATTTAATAAAATCAATTTAATACCCACATTCCGATTAATAAACATGCTAATCACTGATTAAAACCGCGAACAACAAAGATAAGAAAAAAAATAAGAATAAATATCGGAAAAGAAAATAAATAATAATAATAAATGAAAATAATAAAATATTGGGAATACTTGCTAAATTACAAGAGAAACCTATTGTATATATAATAAAATTTTGACAAGGACAGCCTGGCAACACAACTTGGCACCGGACCGAAATTGATCTACAAAGAAAATAGTAAGTAATTCGGGGCTAAAAATTAACTTTCCGTGGTCGGAATAATTGTAACAATATCTAATCATTTATATGGATTTCATAATACTTCGTGGAATAAATTTTATCAAAAGATCTAGATCCTTGTGACCATGTGATTCATATTAACAGACCCTTCCCTTGATTCCAATAATATTTGTATTTTGCTCCATTTGCTAGTCGCGATAATGTAATAACATTTTGTTTCCATATAGGCGTTTCATTAGAGGAATATAAATAAAAGCTGAATAGTTTTTAATTGAACCACAATAGTGCGAAAAGTGGCAAATGTGTCTTTAAGAAAAGTTATGAACATTTTATCTACTTAAAATGGGTAATTTCTGCCCAAATCCATCAGATTTAGGTGTTGTATTCTTGTATTTGATGGAAGGAAAAAAATAAACAGCATAATTAAAGATTAAAAAGTTTAAAAATTGAATATTCATTGCATTTGAACATTCCAAAATTTTTATTTGCTATAAGAATTATATTATAAGAAGTAATATAATAACTCACCGTCTATAGTCTTGTTGAAAGAAGGGAGTGCACATTAGCGAAAGCTTTTTGGTTGCTCAAACAATGGTAAAGTTTAACCAATCTGTGAAAACAAAAAGATGTTTGGGAATCGCGCTCTATATATTATTTATTTTTTTAGCCAATCAAATAATTCAATAAATCATCGAGGGAGGTGGCCTTAAAGTAAAGAAACCATTGTAAGAATACATAAAAATCAATAATTGTCCGAAGAGTAAGCGTAGGACACTTTTGTAAATATTGTTTAATAAAAAATTGTCTGTACACGATTTATTATAGTCGTTGTTAATTATAAAAACATTAAATGATACCGGATAAATCTAATACCTCTTAACCAATGCTGGAATAGGAAATATAGAAGCTTTTTTTGATAAGACTTCATAAGACATAAGTCAGGAACATTATCAAATAACACGGATCGTTATTTCTACATCGGAAATCGACTTACTTCAATTTTTCATCTTTTACTTTTATACTATACCGACTAAAGTATCCCTATACCCTCCCCACATTTCGAAACCGAAGCTTTATCATAAATTGTTAAAATGCAATATGGGCCAAGCTATTCAAATCACGTTCAGTTCTTATGATTTACTATGTTCGAAACCTCCCATATAGTCATTCAAGTAATAAATAAATGTCTTTTTATTCGTTCTTTTGACGTATCAATTATAATAACGTTAATTGTGAATGAGTGTGCTCAGTAATGAAACAAAAAGCCTAGAAGACAGAAAATAATTTCGGAAAAAAAATCTCTAATTCATTGAGATAAATTGAGCCATCACCCAGACATATAGGAGGTAGGCTATTAAAATCACGTTACGGATCATATGATTTACTATGTCCGTAACTCGATTTTAATGGCAAACCTCCCATATTTGTTTTTCATTTAAAATAATTTATTCATAAAAACAACGGTAGTAACTTTTTTATAGCTCAGATTTATTTTTTATTTGGATATTATCGTCAAATTTAACAATTCGATTTTGTAATTGAACCATCACAAAAACATTATTTATGAAATTTAATGAGAATTTAATAAAATTATTAAAAATAAATACTTATTTTTTATTATTTAAAGAAATTTTTTCACGTCCAATAAATTCGTACAGCGCCAATTATGGCATGCTAAGTTATCAAAAACGTTGTGTATCAAAGTGAAATAGAAAAGCAAATTTATCTTGTAAACTGCTAAGCGCGTTCCTCAGCATCTTATAATTTATTAGCGGTTGTAAAACGAATTATTAAAATTGTATCTTTTAATTCAAAAAAGTTAATCCGTTAAAAGGATTTATTCATTATCAACTAGTGTCACACCCTTTACAAATCTTAATCTGTAACAGTTTTAACTTTTTTAATTCTTTGTAAAGTTCTTCTAGTTCCAGTAGCTGGTGACACGGTTGAAAGATTTTGATTAATTTGTTTATCAACCTTTGCTTTCTATTATCAATAAATAAATAAATAAATTATTTATAATAAAATTAAAGTAAATGATTTATTGTAAATAAAGAATTAAATACCTCCACTTCATTAACGATATAGATATAACTATCGTAGGCATGCGATACTAATAAATCAGTAGAAACAATCTTTCGACCAATTCCTGTTTGATATCGCTAGTCCACAAATCCAAAGTAAAATCTAAGAAATACATGCTTAGATTTAAGTCTTCAATATTAGATTCAACCAATAAAAATCTATAAATAAATCTTTTAAAGGCAAGGATAAATGTTTCGGCAGGAATAAGTTGAGATTCTTGTTCGGGGAGATAATTTACACTATTATTAATTGAATCCTTCATTATTTCCGTTAAAGAAACTTTAAATTTATCTTCAATATCATGAATTTTCAGATTAGCCACTTGCTCTTCAATTATTTCATATAATGCTACGATATATTTTAAAGAGAATTCATTAAATATGTTTATATATGTTATATCATATCTTGCTAATTTTAACCATTGATTAACAAAGTCCACAATAAGAAGATCCCTATTCTTAATTGATAATTCTCTAATAAAACAAAGCATTATATTCAAGAGAAAATGTAATTCTGATAAATTTAATGAATTCCGTAAGATAAATGATGAATTTGATGGCTGAAACTTTGCCAAAATCGATTGCCTTTTATCTTCCGGAATAGGTTCTTGTGACAACATCCTTTTTACATCAAAAAGCATCCGTGATGATTTATGAAATAATTCATGTTTAAATGAAAAGTTTTTTAAATAAAAGTCATCATCCTCGGTTTCGAAATGAACTTTGTTATAGACCAACTTTTTAACAAGTTTCTTTTCGATTTTTTGCAAATCAAAAATAAAATAAGTATTCTTTTCCATTTTTCGATTCTTTTGACTGTACTTTAAAATGTTATCATTCCATTCATAATTAATGAAATGATCATCTTGTGCATGAATCACTTTAATCGATTTGGAAGTCAATTGTGATCCAACCGGAATGGCGGTTAACGCGTTATCCAAAAATTCATTATGTAATTTAATCAAAAAGTCCAAAATTGCACATAAATAAATTCCAGCATCCTTTTGTTCGATTAGACCAAAGATAACAGGAAGTTCAAGGTTCATAACCGGTTTGTTAAAAGGCAATTCCTTGGACTGATATTGAACAACATAATTAATAAATTCTTGAAAAGTCAAAATTTGTGCGGTTTTCCTAGTTAAGCTATGTTCAAGTTTAAAGTTTAAAATCTTAACAAATCTAATAATTGGATGGAGATGCTTAATAAGTCCTAGTTTCTCATGATGTTTAAAATATACTGAAAGGAATGGATAGTCTTTTAAATTTTGCATATATCTGATAGTATAAAAAGCATGAAAGTCTTCAAAATTCACATTTTTCGTTGATTTCCAAATTTTAGAAACGTTTTCAAATGTATTTTCTTTAAACCATGGGAATATCTCTTCTAACGTTTTGAGATGATTTGCATCAACGAAAATATCATGCTGATATATAAAATAATATCGTAAGGATTGTATGAATGAGTTCTTAATTTTCATACAATCATTAATTTCTTTAATCAATGATTTAGACAAAATATTATCCTCATGTGCATAATTCATCCAGAATTTATTTACAAATTCTTTGAGAAATGATACCAAAGTTATTTGTTGTAACGTAGATATGTGTTGCGAAGAAAGATCTGATCTTGTAATTGTTTCAATCGAATGTTTAAAATATGGTAATAATTCTTTCAATTCAAATTCATTAAAAATTGATTGAATTATTTCACAACTTAATATCATTATATCCGAGTTAATGGTTTTGATCATGTCATTAATAGCATTCAGTCCAATTGAAAGTTGTAAAGCAGCTTCAGAAATTATCAATGTGAAAAATATTCGCTCATTCTGTTGTTTTTCAAAGTCAAAAACCTTTCTAATTATTATACTTATTAATTTAAAAGGGTTTCGTGAAAATATGTATTTATAAAGAATTACCCGAATATCAGATTCTAAAGGGAGAAGAACAAGGAGTCTCTTAATAAACGATCTAATGGGGATCAAATCATCATCATCATTTAAATTATCAAAGATTAAATTAATAATATCAGATGTGATAAATTCTCGTTTCCTAGATTTTCCCAAATAAATGATTTCTTTGATTTTTCCCGGTGGTATTGACTTTATCTTTAATAAATCGTTACATACGAGTAATAAATTTAAATTTGAACATTGTTTTGCATTATCGAATTTATCACTTAGAGAAAATATAAAGTCCACATCTTGTTTCCATGGTTTATCATCACATATATTTTGTAGGATTAAATTTATTGCTTCCCTAAAAAGATATTGATCAAGTTTTCCATGAATAATGAAATCATTTCGAACCTTTGCAATAATGTCTGGACAATTTTCAACTAATTTTAATTGAATCAAAACATTATCTGCATATTTCCACCAATAAATATGAAGTAGAAATGGATCATTAACTATTTGATCTCCAATTAATTGTCTCATCATAAAATCTAATTCTTCCTTATTAATTAATCTTCTTGTAGTATAAGTTGATAAAATTATTTTAATAAAATCATTATAATATAATTTTGAATATTTTTGTAACTGTTCAAAATTTGGATCAATGGAAATTAAATTACTCTTAAAATCTTCCAAATGATCTTCAATCAATTCTTCATATAATCCTTGATTATGGTTAACATTCTCTGGATCTTGTTTTAATATGTCCAATTCGTCATAATAAAAGTACTTATAACGATTGATCTGATTCATATAATAGTATGAAAAAGGAAATTCAAGATCATGGATTATTAAGGATGACATTACATATACAGAAGGTTTTGGTTCGGGTAAATTATTAATATTGATAATTTTACTATCCATAAATAATTGCATCCACAGATAAATCTTCTTTCACTTCGGATTGTTTGTTTTCGATATTGAAAAATGTTGTTGTTGCTGATAACTTTTCTATTGAATATAAAGTTTTTGCAATAGTTTGTTTAATAATTATCTTGAAGTTTGATATATTTTTCTTGTTTAAAGCTATCTCATGCCAATATGTACAATTCTCTGAAATCCATTCAAAGGTCTTGGTTTTTAAGCATTTTATAAAATTCACGTTACTTATAATCTCTTCAATTAATATACTATAAACCAATATAAAATGTAAGTATTAAAATATATAAATTATAACAGCAAATTTTAGTACTATCATACCTGATATAATTTTCATTAAATTGTTTATATTTTATACATGATAAACACCAAAATAATTCTTCTTCTAGAATATTTTCAAATGATATTGTTGAATGAACCATTTTATCAAAAAGTTCGGAATTAGATTTTGATCCATCCAAACAATTTATTAATGATATCTTTTGTGACTCTAAAAATTCGATAGTAATATGTTTCCAACCAGACATGAAATTAGGCACTATTGAATTTGATTCATAACCCTGTTGAATATGAAATATCATACTCGCGTATTTCGTTTCAAAATTTCTTCTTTCTATCAAATATTCATTTGCAAATAGTTCAATAATGTGTTTCGTGAGTTTAATGCATCTAGCATCAATAGCTGCTATATCGCATTGGAGTAAAAAAACTTGGTCAGTTGATTCAAAAAAGAAATGTCTTATCCGCATAGAAAGTTGTGCTTCGGTTCTAAATGTTGATATGTTATACACTTGACACCTTAATAGACCTAATAAACAACCCTTAACATCCGTATTAATATTAGAGAATGTATTAATAATTATCAGTAAAGATCCTTCGGGATTTTCTAATGATTTTTCTTGTTTAAATACGGCGTTAAAATAATCATATAGACCTTCATGATATTGTTGATGAAAATAAATATGTTTTAATCTAATTATTTCACGATCCCAAATTGAATTTTGGCTCTTAAAATCCCGTTGGGAGATATCAATGCAATTAAACTTTCCTTGCATATTTTCAAAATCTTTTCATCTCCTGCTTTTGGATTACTCTTTGTAACATCAAATACTAAACTTTGTATAGCTTCATTTTTATCGAAACCGATGAATAGGTCCTTCTGCGTGAATTTTTCACATAATGGAGCTATTTGATTAACTCCGATTAAATTTGACATTTGTCTAACCCAATTGTCCAAATTTTCTACAAGTAATTTCTGCCTGTCATTAAGAATATCATGAATTGACATTTTGTGTTTTTCAAATCGATTAAGAAGTGCTGGATCGGCCGAGGCTAAATTCTTTTCATCCATGACAAGTATACATTTAAAAGTTGGTGAAACGTAACTACCAATATTATTAATACTCATTTGAGACCTAACGCTAATAAAAAAGTTAAATACGAATAAGAAATAAATTACATACAACATAGAATTAGAATATTTCCCGAGAGCAACTCGAGTGAAGTATTTAGCATTATCTTTATTACCAACTGCAATATAATTTTGATTCCATAAATCGTAAAGACTTCCTATTTAATATTGGATATAATTTAATATTTACAAATTATTCCAAATAAATTTAGTTAAATTTAATAAATACCATAAATGTTTTCCAGACCTGTTAGAATCAATGGCCTGCCGGCTTCAACGGACATCTATAATGAATGATTATATTCAGAAAATAAGAAATAAAAACTTTTTTACCAAAGTAAATCAATTTATTACCATAATTCTAATCAAAACACTGTAAGAATAATCATCCTGGTCATCAGGAAATTGAGATCCTAAAATCACAACAGGATCCAAGTTTTTCTTTCTTAATTGATAAGTTAATAAATTTACAATATAATCACTTTTACCGATAACCATTAAATGACGTGCATCAGAATCTTCTAAATTTGAACCGATTAGTTCCTCAATTGGAATTTGTTTATAGCACCATGGATTGTGATTATTAAATGTTTTGAGAACATCTCCAAAGAATTCTTCGTATAATTTTTTATAATTGTCTGCTCCCCCAAAATTACGGGCTAATGCTATTTGAATATTCTCTGGTGTCATTTCAGCTAATGAAAGTTGTTTGACTAACGCGTAATAATCTCGAAGACCATGGAAATTAGGCAAATCTTGACCTCGTTTTTCATAATCCGAATATGCTTTGGCTAATCGTTCTAAAGTACCTCTTTGGCTACTTCTAATATCTCTACTACTTAATAACCGTTCAGCAGTATCAATTAAATCATCTAAATCAAATTGCGGCCTTGAAAGAAGTAACATGAGTGATTACCAATTTATATTTTGCATAAAGTTTCAGAGAAACTAATAATTACCTTTGAAGAAGTAATGCACGACTACATTTACTATTATCCAAGCGCCAATTTGATATTCCAACCACCGATACTGTGGGTCCTTTTGCTGGGTAGCTTGGTTCGAGAAAATTGTGAAGAACTTTTAATGGATTGAAAGGACTTGTTTCAGCCAAACCGACTATAAAGCAATTTTTTTTAAAAAAAATAATAATAATAATAAACTGGAACAAGAAAAATAAAATGGGAAAAAATTGAACAAATAGGTTACCTTGATCGAGTAAAACAACACTTATAACAGGAAATTGTTTGGAACTTGTTTCTTGATATTTATTGGCTTTATCAAATATTTTTATTATACCATCAGAAGTTAAAGATGATGAACCATGATGTGGAATCAAGTAAAATTGTGGTAAAGATCTAAAGTATCGATCACTCGAATCAGATCCACGTAAATTTGCACTGATAAGAAGAATTGCCAAAGATTTTGATGAGCTTTTATATAAATTGAGTCAATAAAGTTAGCAAAAAAAAACAGGTAAAAGGAAATTAAAGGTTAAACAAAACTTCATTACATACCCGGGAGATCCAATTAAAAATAAGGGAATCCTTGTTAAGATGCATACAATCATAACCAAAACATTCTCTAATAAAGCTTCATTTTTTACTGTATATGGTGGACATTGCATTCTATTAATATAGTCTTCCTGCTCATCACGAATAACTTTAGCAAACGTATGCTCTCCCACAACAGCTTTATGATTTTGTAATATTTGTCCCATTTCGCGACGATATTGTTTACGTAACTTTTGTTCATATAATCGAGAATGATAACAAAGACTAAGCGCTAAAATATAAGATCTGGTTCTCGGGGTCGGATTTCCAGGTGGTGGATATATAACCCCCCTTATAAAAGCCGGGCGATTTTCAAAAGATTTATAAAAGAATTTAACCAATGTTATAGCTCGCTTGACATCACGTAAGCTAACACTATAAGGCTCCTCAACCTTACGAATGAATTTCTGAGAAGCATATAAAAGCTCGGCAAAAGCTGAATGAGCAAGATTTGCTAATTCTTTTTCGACTAACATTTGAATATACTTGTACTCATCATCTGGTTTTAGAATACCATAATCCCATACATAGTCCAAAATTTGATCAGGAAGAGGTTTAACTTGATAAACAAGACTGCTTAGTTCTTCGTACTTTTTATCCATATTTGTCAAACCAGCCTCGCTTTGAGTTTTTGTACGAAGACGGTATGGGTTGCAGGCAGAGAATAAGCGAATATTTGGGTGTATAAGTTTTCCATCAAGCATTCGATGGGATATTAAATCTGCAAGTAAACCTAAATGATTGCAAGTATTGATTTCATCGAAGAATAACCAAATCTCGCCTTTTTCTGCCTTTTTCAAAGCATCGTTCATAAAAATCATAATAATTTCTTCGCTAATTCCAGCATGGAGATTAAGAGTTACAATTTGAACTTCAACCACCTCAGCTAAATAGGCAATTAAACTTGTCTACAAAAGTAATGAAAATTTAGAAAAAAATGATCGTAAATAAAAGAGCTTTATTATTATTTTTTTTTTATTTTTACCTTGCCACATCCTGCTTCACCACATAGGATGACTGGAATATTTGCACGCGCTCTCAAAAGAATTAGAGCCATCTTTATTAAATTATCACCAGATAAAGCGTATTCTGGAAATTCTAACTTTTCTGTTGATCTTCGTGTTAAATATTCTAATTTTGTTAAAAGAGCATTCGCTGACATCGTATTGTAATCATCTAATTCCCAATTTGTTTGATCCCCGATTACTAAACTCTTTAATAGATTCTTAATATTATCATGCACTTTTGTTCTGTCACGATATAAAGCTGATATTGTATCTGGAGATTGAGAATTAAAAAATACTATAAGATGATTTAAATCGTCCCAATGAACAATTGTTCCGAGACGAGCATTTCCATATTCGTCGTCATTAATAGATTCAAGTTGTGCTTCTTTTGTTTTAATAGATCTAGTTGCAAAATCATTTGAAACTTCTATCAAAGTTCCAACTATTAAAGACCTAATGTTAGTTTCATTTACCATTAATCTAAGATTATCTGATAGTCGAACTAATTGATCTGCGAGAACATTAACAAATACTTCAACGAATCTAAATGAAAAAACATCCTCGTCATTTTTATTAATAAAATATTTAGCAATAAGATTTTGACAACGTTCGGTCGATAGCGGCTCTTTGATTGCTTTATCTGTTCGGAAGAGAATTTCTTTTGTAT